AGTATAGACTTCATATCTTTATACCTGATAAAATACTCTCTTCATTGGACTTATCAACGCATTCAGCATGCCAATTCAATTATTATAAGTTTGATCTATAATTTTACTAGAACTACATGACGAGTGGGAGGACAAGGAATGTGTTGTTGAGTTTGACTTTCTGGGTAAAGATTCTGTGCGTTACTGGAACTTTGTGCCGATTGAAAAAAGGGTGAGTGTTGTTTATAGACAACTAGACGCATGGCGATCGTTGCTAAAACTACCCACAAGTCACATACGACTACTTACGAGTAACATACGACTACATACGAGTCACATAAGAGTAACATACGACTACATACAGGTTACATACGAGTAACATACGACTACATACGATTACAAAAAATAAAAAAAACCTTCATACAAAAATAACCATCATTAAAATAATTCGTCTATATCGGTCCGGGACCCTGACAGAGTATCACGAAAAACTATATGCCGAGAGTCAAAATAATTCACCAAAATCACAGTAGAATGTAAATCCAGTCTAATCAATACTTAACTGTATTTAGGTGTAGAATAGTCTTCCTTTTGACCAAATTCAGCTGACAATTCAAAGCTTCTTCGTCGCTCGGCATAGCGTACAATCTATGTAACACTTCTAGGTTTTTCACGTCTCTGCACTTTTTTACTACTCCTAGAGTACAAACTCTAAAATTAATGTGTGTAACGCTACTTACGACCGYGGAAAGATACATAAAAAGTCATATACATTTGCACGTATTAAACTACATATACATTGATCCTCTTTTCAGGCGTTTAAGAACCTCAAGCTCTTCATGGAAGGAAAGCAAGACGGTGATGACTTGTTTGATAGATTAACTGTAAGTATCAACACGGGCAAAGGAGAAAATAAACGTTTTTAGAATATATTTAGCCATAATAAGATRTATTCTTTTTTTAGACAACCTCTTTAAATAAGTATCTATCAGAATTGATGGAAGGATTGTCTGCCAAAGTGTTCCGTACATTCAACGCTTCATTGACGCTACAAGATCAGCTTCAAAAACTCACTGAACCCAACGATAACGTTAACTCCAAAGTACTGTCATATAACCGTGCTAATAGAGCAGTAGCTATCCTATGTAACCAYCAGGTACACTGATACAGATGTCATATACAGCTGATTTAGGAAACGGTGAATAATGAAGATAGTGTATTCCAAGACTGAAATGCATCGTTAGTCGTTTTATCGCTGTTCAAAAGGAGTTTTCATGGTTTCAGAGTGATTATACCAACTCCGTCGAGTTCAGTCTTGGCAAGAACTTTAAATATGTTGGGAATAGTCACTTTGTAACGCAGCTAGCGTGGAGTTTAATAGCAACAATATACATTGCGGTCTTGGAATGCATTATTCAGCGTTTTCTAAAATAGCTGAATAACGGCCATGAAAATTTATAGAGATGTGTGAAAAACAGAGTTAAAGAAAATGGGAGTTATTTTATATCATGAATTCAAATCGTCCATGTATTTAAAATTATTTAACAAATCAATATGGAGATTTGGGGGATTCCGTCATAAAAAGAACAATCTGGCTTGAAAAGGGTGGGAAAATTTTTCCAGTATTACAGAATTACAATAAAAGGCTAAAAAGACCTCATTTTAAAAACTATRAAGTGYGCCTTAGCAGTAAACACGTCAACTGTTKRTRAAAAAAGGCTTATTGGGCGGTTTTGCTTACCTYAAATAAAATCATTAAAAAAATACATAAAATACATCATTACATTTCATTAGATAATCATTGAATGCAACTCTGAAAGAGTATTTGAAATGAATACGATCASGTCTAAAACTACATACACTTCATACGAGAAACATAGGGACAGCATACAAGTGGTAAATTTGATTTGCTTTATTYAAACTATTTTAATTGAAAAATCTTTTATTTTACAAAATAGAATAAAGTATTTCATTCAAAGTTTTCATTGAAAACTTTCGATAAACACCGGTACTGAACTTTGCGATAAAAACAGTAAATGACATTTCAAGAGGCTATAAATTATAAATGTAATTTATCAAACCAAGCTTATACGAGCAGCTAGGCAACATCTACGCTTTGCCTAAGTATATAATTTTATAAAATCGAACGTGTACAATTGGTTACAATATGTGATGGTGATCTTTCAAAAYAATAATTTTCGGCCGAGCTTTCGATTGGATCACCGAGCCATTAGCAAGATCGACTGACAAACGTTGCAATAACTGCAAGGGTTAAGCACCTATTTCACAAAAYATTTTCGTCGCTAGGACAAGGTACAAAGTCTTGAGCCTGCAAAGAATCTCGGGATTTCCATGCGTAATAAAATATACAAATAAAATATTAGTATTTTCAGTTGTTCAAAATGCTCRGTTTTGTAGCGTACCTTTGCCCGCTTCATACAGTGCTAGTTTTGGCGTGCTAATTGGCTTATAGAGTATCTTGTAATATCTATATATAACACTGGAGTTTCAAAGAGGAGTAAGGAAAATGTTTCATGGCGAGACTTGCGCGATCGTATATATTTCCCGTCTTTGCCATTGAAAAAGTATATTCGTCGTGTTGCCATGAAAAAGGCTATAGTTGTAACCGCATGACCAAATATATTGTGAATATATCAACTATGCAACTTGTTCAATTGC